TATATATATATATATAAACTTATATATATATATATATATAAAAACTTATATATATATATATACACACACACACACACGTTTCTGTGCATTTGTTTCTCTAATATACCCAGAGTAACACACACTGGGTTGGGATGGTTTCTTGATGTGCACTTACCCTTTATATAAAACTCTCTCATATATATACATATATATATATGTTTCGGTGCATTTGTTTCTCTAATATACCCAGAATAACACATACGGTATTCTCCTTGTCCATTCCTCTCTGGTCACTGTGTGCATTTGCTGTGAATTAGATGACCTTGGTCTTAGAAAACACAAAACCAGAACCCCACTCACTCCCATGGAGTCGATGCCAACTCCTAGCTTAGAACTCATTTTATTGTTCATGTCGCATTAATAATCCTCCAAAGGACGCAAGAAGGCTATATATACTGTGGGGATCACTTCTCAGCCTTTTGGGTAAGATCAAGTGTTGTATACTGTGCTGCAGTCCCAATTTAATGACACTATACAAATTTTAAAGTTCGGCTCTTAAATCATACTACTTTTAGAATAAAAATGACTTTGCTTCTGGTAAAATATGCCTAACTCAGAATTTGCCACCCTGACCATCAAGTGTACAGTAATTCAGTGACACAAATGGCATTAACATATTTTTTAAATTAAGCTGCAAATCTGCAGGGGTCACAGGCAGTATTGCTGGTATCTCATGTACTCTTGCACTCAAACTAAGGGCTTTGGGAAGAGCACAAGGCAGTTTTCACGCACCCGTAGACTGACAGTCAAGTGACTATGGGCTCCACAGTAATGCTACCACCCAGTCTCTCCATCACCATGGACAGACGGCTCCCCTTGCCGGTATGCACATGACAGCGCTCAAGCAAACGCAGCCTTTACATGTCTGCGCGTGGCTTTTCTCGTGGCATCACATTCACGCCAGCCACCTAAGAAAGTCAAAGGAAGCTCTCGCCCAACCCACAAAACCAACACACAAGGCAACAGTACTGCCCGCATTTTTTCAACCCTGCAATTAAAATTTCATGAAAAATCTGCTAAGGAAAAATGTTACTCAGACGATGTTTTCATCAGGCAGCACTGGCTCTTATTTACATAAAAAAATATCCACAAACACAGACTCTTTGGACAAGACTGATCACAGCTGCTTGCTATTCTTTGCATTAGAGCAAACACAAATTTTACACCAGTCCAAAGGAACTTTGTCCTGATCCATCTTTGAAGGAATCAAGCCAGCATTAAGTACTACCTTACTCAACACAAACATTAGGAAACCTTATGCTAAATGGACTCTGGGTCAAAAAACATTTTGACTAGTTGGCTGACTGATATTGACTGTTTTATCTAGTTGTATGTTTATCTTGTCTCAAAAATAATCCCATGTGGCCTTTTGCAAAAATCAAGATTAGCTGACAATATAACAATTTGGTACAGTTATTTTGGCAGTGAATTGGGCTCTTCCAGTTATTGCTTTGATAAAATGTTTCATCAAAATTGCCTTTCTTCTAAATAGAATACTAAGATTCTTGTTCCTAGACAGGTTATTCCTGTATTTTATTAACCCTGATGGCATGGTAGTTACGAGTTGGGCTGTTAACCACAAGTCTGTGGTTCAAAACCACCAGCCACTCCTCAAGAGAAAGATGAGGCTTTCTACTACCAAGTCTCAGGAGCCATGTGGGCAGTCTCACAGGGCTGCCTTGAGCTTATCAACTCAATGGCAGTGAGTGTGGCTTGGGTTTTTTACTTTTTAAATGTTATAAAGAAAATAAACAGTATAGCTATAAAGCTTAATATCACACATTTTCTATTGTATCATTTATTCACATTTAAAAACTCCCATATTCCTTTACAACAAGTTGTGAATGGAGCATTTTACAGTTTATTTAAAATTTAAGGAAAACAGAAACATTTCTCACACTAATATCTGGTTTTTATTTTGTCTTTTTAAGGAAATATTAAGTTAAAAAGAGACCTGCAAAAAATTTTAAAAGGTTCCCAGCAATAATTATCTCGGATATGAAAATTAAAACATACTTGTATATAAAAGGCTAAAACTCAAGGATGGCGTTCTAGATTTTCTTTGAAAACGTCTCGATGATTTGTCACATCAAGGAAGCTCAGCATGCTGCTCCTGCTGGCGCCTCAGTCATCCTCAGAGCCGCTGTCTCTCCTCACGGGCCCCGAGCAGCGCACTGAAGACAGGAGCACGTCTTCTACTTGTTTCTTGGGGTTCTCCTCCAGGTCTGTCTTGATTGCTCCAGACTCGGCCAATTTCCACTCCAACTCTACATAATCAAGTCAAAAGAGAGAGAGAAAAAAAGGCAAATTAACCAAGAACAGCCTGGAGGGGAGGTGGGGCCGAAGTTCCAGGTCAGTTTCTTTCCCCTTCAAGTAAGAACAACATTATTAAAATTTGTTGACAGTTTACTTTTAGTGCCATAAGGGTAAGATGACTTAGGAGAGAAGGGAAAAATATTAGACCTTTAATAAAGAAGATGCAAAGTACTTTCCAACACTTTCTTAGAAAATGAAATTCCATCAATTGGAAACTGTATGGAAATTTAAAAAAAAAATACAAAATCTGCCTTCAAACGATGACAGCTTCTCAGGGTGGACAGTTACCCAGGAAAGGAAGCAGCATGACACGTGAAAAGAAACTAATGTTCACAGTCCGGCAAGAAAAGTGCCTGAGAGAACCAGAAAGTAAAGACTCAGACACTGACTCTCTCTCTCTCTCTCTCTCTCTCTCTCTCTCTCTCTCTCTCTCTCTCTCTCTCTCGTATTCAGTGAACTTCCACATGGGTGTAAACGTGTATGAAGCAAAATCAACTCCTACTTTCCTCATGTATAGCTAAGAACCCAGGCCAAAAAATAGCCTAGACAACAGACCCTAAAGCAGTCTGCATGTCCATTACACCTGGCTTGAATGTGCATTGATGCTCTGCTAATTAGGCATGTCCACAAAAATCGGACAACCGATTTAACTGAAGCCAAGCTAATTTGAAGTTCTCAATGGAGATGAATAACACCAGTTATTTTCAGCATGGAGTATGGTGGTTGAATGGTAGGAAAATTCACATTGAACTCTTAGGATTTCTGATTCTTGCCTCAAATGTCTCTTTACATATAATCTGTGCATACTGACAGAGCCACTGGGGGCCACCCTGTGTGGACTGTGACAGCGACCCCGTGTCACAGAGTGGGACTGCTCCCGAGGTTTCTAGGCGATCACCGGTACCACATCTTTCTCCCCCAGAGTGGCTGGGCAGGTTCAGTCAACTTTTCGGTTAGCAGCCAACCTTCCCTAGGGTGATGAAGGGCTGCGCTTAACGCCATCCTTAAAGGCGGTCAGGGCAGTGGCTCCATCACTCGGCTGCTAAATGGAGGGTCAGCTGTTGGAACCCACCAGCTACTCGGCCGGGAGGAAGCTGTGGCAGCCTGGTGCCTTCAGGACTGTTGATAGGTGTTGCCGAGTCAGGTGTTGCCCGACCCATAGCAACCTTGTGTCCAACAGAGTGAATCACTCCCCAGGTCTTGCACCATCCGCACAATCATTCTGCCATTTGAGCCCATTGTTGCAGCCATTGTGCCAATTCATCTTGCCCAGGGTCTTCCTCTGTTTTTGTTGCCCTTCTACTTTACAACAACGTCATTCTCAGGGACACTGTCCTGAGACCATGCCCTTAAAGGTTACTGCCATGGGGATCCCCTGGGGCGGTTCCAACCCTGGCGTCCACAGCCACTCTGAGCCTGAATGAACTCAATAACAATGAGCTTTGGTTTCACTGTTCACTCTGAGCCTGAATGAACTCAGTAACAATGAGCTTTGGTTTCACTGTTCACAAATATCAGTTTAAACTGGACTCATCCTCAAGTCTGACTTTTCTAGACACAAAGGCTGTCACTACTGTTTGTGAGGCTTCAGAACGGTTGTAGACGATTTTCCATGACCCTGAATTCCATTTTTCATTAGTTTTTTGAAGCCCACCACATACCTCTCTCCCTTTATGGAAGTCAATAAGGTCCAGGTCAAATGTAAACACATTTAGTCTGAAATGCTGCATGCTTTTGGACACTAGAGTAATGAATACATAACTTTTGTAGTTTATATGCATGCCTGTGTATCTGTGTGTGTATAAAAATGCGTGCTTCTCTTGGCTGGCTGAATATCTTTCAGCTTTATGAATGGCAGCAGTGTGGAATCTTACCCCCTCTAACTTCACTGGGGGAGAGGCAAGAGAATCAAGATCAGCACTGGCGGAAGGCTGATTCCTCTGAGGTGGCAGTCACATCTACCTCTTCTCTCCATCTTTTCACCAATCTGAACACCAGCTGATTTGGACTGTTATTTGATTAGGGCAGCTTCTTCTTAGCCGTACTCGAGGCAGGCCTCTTTCTGGACTTTATCCTCTAACACTCAGTCTCTGCATGTTTTCCATGTATCTTAACTCTGACAATAAGTGCCCAGAGGCACCCTATACCACAGTAAGCCTTGGCCGATTGGTGCTCAGCTCTGGCTCTCTAGCTGGCTCTTTGTGGGCCACGAAACCCACCAGCATCTCATGTCAGTTTCCTGGTTCTGCAGTTGCCACCACTTCTTGTACACTGGGTCTAGGAGGTTCTCAGCAAAGGCATCCCAGGTCCAAAGGATGTAGTCCAATTCCAGTTCTTCTTTCATGATGGTAGTGTAGTCCCCTTCTCAGTGGCTGGAGTTGGCTCATTTTAACATTAGGGCTCTATATACCCTTTCTGTAAGGTCCCACCATTACAAGGGTATCATGTGCCTCATTTGCATTGTTAGCAAGCTGACCAATCTCCTTGGGCCACAAACTTACTTGCATATTTCAATCATGTTGTTTACAAGATTGTAACAACAGTTAAAAGGGCAAAGGAAGCACTTTAATGTACTATACTAATAAAGCTTAGTTAAAAATGTATGTTCTTAATGGCCAGCACAGCAGAGATGGCTGTAATATTTCAATAATAAAAAATGTTACTTGGCAGGATGTCTTTGGCCGTAGGTCAATGCACACACACCCCGTATGACACTATGTAAAAAGGTATAAAAATCTTCAACTAAGATGTTCGACTATGAAAATATTTCCAACGAAAAAGTTGAACTGTGTATTAGCATTTTAATGTGGTCATGTAAATGAAATAAAAAGTCAATGACGTGATGCTGACCTCAACTTAGAACAACACATTAAGCTGCAGGAGCAAACTACACTAGCCATTAACATTACACAACAATCTCTATTTAAATCCACTATGTCTGCCTTCAATGGAAAGTAACGAGACCCAGTTTTAATGACCACAGTCTCCAGTCTAAAATGAAAGACTGAATGGGTTGCTTCCCTTTTAACCACCACTCAACCAAAACGGGCGAACTAAACAAATAATGTAACACACGCTTGGGAAGAGGGTCCTCGCCTCAGGAGAAATCTATCACCCTGCTACAACTAATCTGCCGTGCCCATTTCTAAAAGGCCTTACCATCTCTTGTCAGGTTCATGCCACCAAACACCAGAGGTCCAATAAATTGAGCCTTGATATCTCCTTTGAGATAAACAAATATCGTGGGCAGATTCCTATCAGGATAATTGGGTATGCAGGTTGTTGAAATGGCTTTGATAAATTTAACATCTGGAAACTTCCTTGCAAGTCCACGGAAGTGTTGATTTATCAGAGCACAGAGGGGAATCCTATAAAACAGAAAGGGAGGGAATATTGTGAAGCTGTCTTTATATAAAACAGAAGTTCAACTGCTCTTTTACCCTGGATAAAAAAGCCCACTGCCATCAAGTCAATTCCGATTCACAGCGACCCAATAAAGGGGTTTTAAGATCATAAATCTTTAAAGAAGCAGAAAGCTGCGTTTTCCTCCCAGATTATCTGGTGGGTTTGAACCACTGACCTGTGGTTAGCAGGCCACCTCTTAACTCACCAGGGGACCAGAGCTCCTCTATACTGTGTAAAACCTTTAATAGCTTCACAAAGCCTTTCTGCTACTGCACCCAAGATCAATGACAAGTTTTAAAAACCATTCAAATGTGTGCAGAAAAAATGAAGTACTCAAAATCAAAGTTCACTTTAATTCCGCCCAATAATACAGAAAAACTGCTTACATGTAAAAGACAATTGCTAGGTTCTCCCCTATAAGGTTGAATAAGACTCAACACGTAGAATGTGAGAGACCGGTCACAGAGCATGTCCTGCTTTGCAGAAGTTCCCAGTCAGCCGATGCACTGTCTAGTATAAGAGCACAGCTGGGCAGGTCGAAACCAGGTGGACTCAGTGCATCAACTGCTGCAGAACATTAGTGTGAAGGTCACCCTTCCTCCCCCCAAGAGAGAGGTGTGATACACAATTCCAAAATGCCAGCTGTCCCCTGATGGGTACGTAACTCAGGAACTCCTTTTCAACAGGCTCATGACGACACAATACCGAAGGCATGAAAATGATGAGTCATCACAATCTATGAATTAGTCTTCGGACGAAAACTAAGCATTAAGGTTTATGAAAACTGGCAATAACAACACTAATGAATACACCGCATGCTATGGATTGATCTCCAGGTGATCAAGATACAAATTCAAACAATCATTTTTAAAGACAGTGTGTACGTAAGATCAGCTCACCCTTGTTTGTAAAGGTGCAAGATTACCCATATGCC